AAAAAAAATTAATTTATTCTAAATAATTACACATTTTATTTCATTCATTGTTTTTCATATTTTAAAATTTCAACTTTTCAAGTTTTTTCAAAAATGTTAAAACTTGAAATTTTAATTCCTTTTTTTTTAAATCGAATATCCTTTTTCCCTACCTTTTACTTTTTCTATTTCTCAATAAAATTATGTTATTTTTTTAAATAAAATTTTATATTATACTTCTATACACATACGTATTCATATATTTTTATACATTCACACATATACATGTATTCACATACATACATACGCATTCATATATGCATTTTACATACATACATACATGCATACATGCACACATACATACATACATACATATACACATGTACATCCATACATGCATCCACATACATATACATGCATAGATACACACATACACATCCATTCACATATATATATATATATATATATATATATATATATATATATATATATATAATATATATATATATATATATATACATGTAAATGTACATATGTACATATACATATATATTTTAATTGGGTAACACTTAGACCTTAAAATTTTAGTTTCGAATTTAAGTCTTCAAAAATAAGACTTAAGTATTAAACTCTAAGCACACATTGCTTCTATAATGACAAGATTCTTCCTGGAAAAAAACATTAGACACGGTGCCAACAGCTGACAGCGTACGCGACACCCCCCGCTATCCACTATTAGAGGCGTGGCCGTTCAATTCTACTACGTGGACGGAATGCAAATGAAATGTCTTAATCATTCAGGACATGAAACACATTTCAATTTTTATAGAAAAAAAGTGAAAAGGGATTCACTAATATGACATACGATAAGTCAGTAATTAGAATGATTTAAACTGGTGTTCGAAGAAAAAAAGGCTATGACTTGTTATGTGTGCGACCTACTGATGGTCTACAGTGCTACGAATCATTGCGGAGTAATGTTATATGCTCTCACCATGTCAGCATGATATGAAAAAGTAAAACGATGTATTATATTTTTGACAGTCAAACAATCACCTGATGATTGATGGGAAAGATTTGGATTTCTGTCAAGGCTCGTTCCACATTCATTACTTTGTAATATTGTTTTTAGCACATTTAAAGTAAAAAATTTTCTTATGCCAAAACAATGACCGAATAGAATATGCAAACATAGAACAAGTGTTAAGGAAAATTGAAATTTTTATAACCAAATTCGACCTTGTCCTCATCATTTATGTTTCTGCATACTTTCATTTTAGCTAATTTAAGTGGAAATCTAAAGATTTGAAAATAAAAGACATTTTCCTTTTCAGCGTTTACTATTGTCAAATGTTGGTCTTTATCTGGGTAATTTGTTGCATCGTACGAAAGAAATGGCGGAGGCGTTTGGGCGTGAAACACAGCAAACTGTCTTGCAATTAATTTGTCGTTTTGTCCGATACAAAGGTACGAAACGAATTGGGCGACAATTAGCAGGAAGGTTAGAACTCATTAAAATCTTCGAGATCTTTCCAGTTTTAGATAATAAAATTATCGAGTGGTAATTTTTCAAACTACCTGAATTAAATTAAAAGAACGTTTCGTCTGTGTATCCTGGTCACGCCCGAAGATCCTTTGCTCAAATCACTTTCTTTCCTCATGTCAGAAAAGTTGAAGCTACAACATTATATTAAGATACTGTGGAAAAAGTTGTACTTATCCTACGATGACAAGCGAAACGACTGAGAAAGTTGCTGCGGTCTTTTTTCTTTTCATTTTGCGTTTCAGTAATGGTGTGAGTGTTTTATTGGATTGCTTCCTGGCAGGCCAGTGTGAAACCTATATCATCGAAATGTGCAATGCATCATTTGAACTTCGTGAACAGTTCGAAACACCGGGTTGTATAACGAAAATTGTTGAGACGCATCCACGTCCTGAATATATGCTAAAAATGCTTTTATGCTTTGCACAGGTGTAGTTAGAAGAATCACTGGAAGAGAAAAATGTTCTCTGTAGGAAATCCTGAGAAGAGTGGATTTAAATTTTTTTTTTTTTTTCGAGATGAACGTAAAACAGGAAAAAAATTTAGTAGAGTGGATATAGATAAAGAAGGAGATAGACTTCTTTTTCAAATGGAAACGTAAGAGGTCGATTTAATTTTTGGATGAGTTTATATATTTTTCAATCAGTTCGTCAGGTTTAAGGATGCTTGGGGACGAGCAGCACTTCGTGGACATGGTGCCTTAGATATACTCGTTGATGGACTAGAAGAAGCTGATTCAGTGCAACAGGTACTAATCGTCAACACGCTTCGGTATATTTGTCTGTTTATATTATTTTTATATTATCGGACATTTATCATTTATGTCGGAAAGAGAAGGATGAGATGAGACAAAAATTAGTAGAAAGGGAAGAAAGTTATAAAGGAATTCAGATATCCAAGGAAAGAGGAAAACATGAGTCATTGCTCAACCAGGAGGTTTTTTGGTAATATTATCAATAGTTTGTATATTTTTCCATGAATGTATTCAATTTTTAGATATTTTGTTCATGATGGAAGTGGATTGAGCTATTTGACATTTTCCACCAAATTTCTGGATGTTGTTATGGATCACATCAATCTTTATTTGAACAAAAATAAGCGTATCTGTAGTGTAAGTTTCCAGCTTCCCTTTTCAGCTTATTTTTTTAAACTCTAGTTTGTTGACACATTTGCTTATATAATATTCTAATATACTATACAATCGATAATTATTTCAGTTTCATGCACGTACTATCCACAATTTGGTGAAGTGACATCGTTTCTAAGCCACCTTGCTTATTATTTTGATTGAATAAGATCGAATTGCATTATATTTTTGTGGCATAAAACACACTTATTTTTCTCCTCCTCTTGTATCTAAATTCCTTATCATATAATTGATAAAAAAAAAGTGTTTCAGATAATGCCAAATCGAGCGATCGATGAATGTACAATCCATAACAAAGCAGGACGTCATAAAACAGAATGCTTATGTTGTGAAATGATAGTAAGCTTTCAAATCAAATCAATCAAAATGTTTCAATGTTTCAATCAAAATTTTGAATAAGATTAGCATGGCATTTCAAAATATGGTTTCCATTTTTCCGAATAACTAAAGAGTTAACCATGTGTTGAGTATTATTGGGAACTTATAATATTGAGGTATAAAGACTTTCTTTTAGATTTGAAAAGACTTAAAAATGACCAGGGAATCGTAATCGTAATCTATTTTTTGTGAAAGTGAAATAAGTTGCAGTCGATGCCATTTCATGCAACGAACCTTGATGTGCTCACCCACGTTGTGGACTTTGACGCATCCTCATCGAAAAAAGTGGTCGAATTTTCCTGGAGTCCGTCGCAATCACCACCACCTGGAATGCGTTCACCGCAGATGTCACCGAAAAGAATACCACTGTTTGTGTTTCTGCTTTTCTTTATCTTATTCCCTATGGAGTTGAACTACAATAAATCAAATTATGCTGAAGAGAAAAAAAGAAGACACAGCAAATAGGTACAATGTAGTAAAATGTTCGGGACAATGAAAGATCTTGTCACTTTCCATCACATGTTTGATCGTTTTAGTACAATGGTTTTGTTAGAATTAGATGTTGTTGATACACATAACGATCATTCTTGACGTGCAATTTCTTTCTCTCCATCCATAATAACACGAGTCACTTATCTATTTCATTTTGGAATTGTACCAGTAAGCTATGATCGGAGCATATGTGATACTAACTGACAGAGTGTTTGCCATAGTTATTTCAAATAATTAAAATTTTTGAATACCAAAGTTAACGCTATATTATGAAACTAAACTGTGTGTTGGAAGTTACAGTTCACCAACGTCACTGATGGATGAATACATCGAGTGCATGGAACGTCCGACATCAACGAATGATAATCGCAGTTGTTTGAGTCTTGCTCCACATGCACCTCTTAGGAATACAGAGGTACATACAACTATTAGTTTGTTTTAACGAAAACTGCTATCAGCACTTCCGTTATTATGTTGGCGATAGCATCTTCTGGATAAAGGTTGATATGGCTTGAAATTTTAAGCTTTACACTTTACTGCACTGTACTGTTTAAGACATCTCATTCATTGTACTCAGCCAGAATAGTGACAGCTGATTAGTAATTTATGAAAAGAGAATGTGCAGAGTCTTTGAATTGTCAAAGACAATGATAGTGTTATGTAACAAGCCTGAAGATATGGGTTTATTATTAACTGGGTTGAATATTCGCTGTTATATTACTGTATAAGTCATTTCAGCTCGTCGTTGGTGAATTGTACATTTTGGCTTGGTTATCGCACAGTGAGTCTAATATGAGACGGTTGATTACATCAAAAGTAACTTTTTCATACTATTTATGCAACAAAGGTATTCCCAAAAATTTTTTTTATGAAATAATTTTAAGACAAGAATAGTGGGATACATTAAACATGTCAAGTAAAAAAGAAGCTGTAGGAAATCGGGAATAACTGTACCAATTAAGTAATTAAGAATTGAGAAGCCTCCCAGAAAATAAAAAAAAATGTTTGAGCAAATATGGCAAAGGTGAGGCTGTTGTTACTAAAGCATAACTTTACATAGTGCATCGTTTACAGGAGTACAAAGTCATCATCATTTGATATGTTCTTTTTTTTTTTCATATTGTGAGCACCTTACTGCAATACATCTCTGAAGCACCGTCGATGGTTTCCAAAGCACCACGTACAATAAGACGAATTTTTCGGCATCGTTTAGCAGTGGAAAATTTGTCTCGTTTGGAGTTTCATACTCTTGTCATACACATCCTATTGACACGGAAATGCGAAGCCGACAAGTATGCTTCTTAGTTCTATTGTTTTATTGTTGTGGCGCAAATAGATATATAAGTATACTCATACAGCATAATCATTGTTCCTCGTATCAATCTACATACGTTATCAGTATACAGTATTACAGTTACCCATCAAATTTTAATTTCAAATACTCTTGGCATATGACGACACTTGATCTTTTAGTTTTTGTATTCCATCTTGATAAATATGTATGCACTTAACTCTTCTTTCTTTTGTTTCAGACCGTCACTCACTATTTTGTCGCGAACGAACCTTTTTATTGCATTGAAGTTTCGCTTCATAGCTTGATGAAAAATTAGCATTTTTTATAACACCTAGCATTTAAATTATATTCCATCTAGAAGTAGTCTAGATACCATGCCATATAGAAATCATGGATTACTTTTTCACCCTCTGCTTAGAATTCATCTAAGGTGTCGAAATTTTCAGGCGAGTTTCACAGTGTTCAGAATGTGCAATAAGAAGTGATTTTGGTCATGCGTTGTTGGAAGAATTTTCATCTCACATTGATGCACCGTTTGGATTAGAAGTACTTAAAAATATTTACAAATCAAACGATGAAATTGAACAAATGAAGGCTTGTATTGCAACGTTACATCTCGTTAGGTATCTCTTTCTTGTATTGCTATATTATATATATTGGATAGAGGAAGAAAAATTTGGAATAGCTATGTTTGACGTACATTAATATACAACAAATTACGAACATTGAACTATGAACTGCAAGAAATTAAGATGAGGAAACATTGATTTATCTACCATGTTGAAACTAAAAGTAAATCATATCACTACGTCGCGCTTTTAATATTATTCGTTAAAAACATATTTTTTAACATATCTTTTGTATTGTACTAATGTTTGAAATACGTCTTCACCTTTAGTTTGGTCATTTATGACTAGGACTGTTTACAACCATCAGAATTTTATGAGTGTTGTAGAGATTTGAGTTAAATACACGAAGCGACTTACGGTTATTCTGTACACGAGAAGATTCTATCAACTTCATGCGTTAGAAGCAATAGCCTCTATGGGGAGAAAACTGTTTGTCTGCTTGTTCTCCATACATATATATATATATATATATATATATATATATATATATATATATATATATATA